CGCATAAACATTAACTTTTCTGCTACCTGCATAAGTTCTTGTTAGAAGGGGATAAAGTGAAACAAAATATACACAACTAGCATAAACGCAATAAACAGATAACCTTCAGTTAAGCAGTATATTTAAGTTTCTCATTTTGTATATTGAAACTGGAGGAAGAGACCCTTAAGATATTGATATTTTTAACTTATACGAGGATTTACAACAAGATTCGCCTACAGCTAACTATAATGATAAGTAAGTATGTGTTCCTCCCCATTCTGGATCAATCATTTGAGGACCCATTAAAGGCTAAAATTGATGAACTCAAGCGCCAACTACAAGGCTAAAATTGATGAACTCTAGCCAACTACCACGATTACTGCATAACCTGATTTTTTAACCATTTACACAACAAGTGCATTTGAAAGGGTCAAACATACATTATTATTTTGGAAATGTTGTGATTTCACTGAACATAACATTATAAACATAAGAAAAGAAAGTGTGGTGTATGGTCTAGACGGGAGATAATCTGCATCGTAAATCTTTGGTTCCAGCTCGAAATATTCAACATTATAATAGGTGACAAAGTAGAACAAACCCAGTTAATGTGTACTAACCATTCAAACATAAAAAAGGTAACTAATACAAGTTGAATAAAATCACATAAAGCTAGCTAGACAGTAAGTTCACCACCATCAATAGTTATTAAGTATAAACATCCCAAATGAAATCAACATTTGTAGGATTGGAAAACCTCAACGCCCACAAATGTCCAAAATAAACCCCTAAATTATTTAGCCTCAAAGATCGAATCTTTAGTTCCGGTTCAAAAATTCAAGACTGGAGGTATCAAAGGGATAATACCTCCTCAATGCTGCCATCTCCAATCTCAGTGTTTAACGAAAGCATGAAGTCGTCAAGCATATCCTCTATGTCATCAATGTAGACTTGTTCTGCAATTATAGAACAAAAAAAAAAAAAAAAACTACCCCAGCATTAGCTTGTTACAAATAAACAAACCTAGAGATCCATAGAGAGATTGCAAACCCTAAGAAAAAGGAGAAAAATATACAAGAATAAATTTTCTTCTTAATTCTTACAACCTTAATCACTAAAACTTATGTTTATCAACAAAAAGACACGAACAATATCTCGTTTTACAAAAAAAAGCTATAAAATTCACAATCAGCATGAAGTGCAGGGTTTACAAGCATATCAGAGAATATGTTCAAAGAGAAACAAAACCTTTTGTTTGAGTGAGGCGTTGAAAAATACTCAGCTCGAGCTGATGAGATTTGTGGAGCGAGTCACGGCCGCCCCACTCGTTCTCGACGGCCATGCGGAGGGCGGCCCATCGAGAAAACACCAAATGAATCCCCTCTTGCAGCTGCGCCGCCGCCTCCGCCGTCAGAGTAGGGTTCATCTACGCTTGATTTTTATTTTTTATTTTTTTTCTTCCCTCCCTGACAGATTTGGTTCGTCGAAATAAAGCGTTTGGGAGACAAAACATGGCCAATGAGATGGGCTGTAGCGGGTTTGTCTTTGGTGGTGTGTATACTGTGTTTTGGGCTTGGGCTGGCCCATCTGAACGTTGAGAAACAATTGTTTGACTAGACAAACAATTATCTTAGGATGGAATTGAGGTGATACTACGGTGAGTATCCTCGTTGAAATTTGACCGTTTGATTGCACACACTCACTTGTGTGTAGGGTTGTAAACAAATCAAATATTTTTTATTCGATTCGTGATTCGAATTCGATATTCGTGATTCGAATTCGAAATATTCGAATTCGAATTGGAATTCAAATGATGTTTTAGATTCGAAATTACTCCCTCCCTTTCCCTTTCGTTCCTCTTGCAAATCCCGTTGGTCGAGCCGTTCGAGCATCTTCAAACCTTTCTTTTCTAGGCTTTCTAGCCCTCCACTAGAAAGAGATGCGTGAAAAAGAATACAGTTCAAGCAGAAAGCTAGTAAAGGCACTCGATTAACCGGTTTGTTTATATCGGAGACCTTTATTCAAAAAGGTAGAAAGGAATCCAAAAAAGGTTGGTGCTAACTCTGCATCGATTCCGCCCATTGCAAGAGGGGTTCATCCAGGAGCGGTGGCAGGGACGAAAGCAGAGCTAGTGGTAACGAATTCGAATCCGAATGTGTAGATATTCGATTCGAAATTCGATTATTCGATTCGTTAACAATAATTATATAAATTTTACAAATATATAATATACCTTTTGTTTATAATATATGTATATATATATATATATTGTTATATTCCTAATATTTTTATGACATAAAAATTAAAAACATCATAAATTAACAAATTTTTCTAAAAATATATGAAAAATAAAATTTATTTTTGTAATTATAATATTTTTTAATTATAATATTTTTATACAAATTATATATGATATACATTTTGTTTATAATATATGTATATATTGTTATATTCCTAATATTTTTATGACATAAAAATAAAAATATCATAAATTAACAAAATTTTATAAGAATATATGAAAAATAAAATTTATTTTTGTAATTATAATATTTTTTAATTATAATATTTTTTTAAAAACGAATTCCGAATCACGAATTGAATCTTTGAATATTTTAAACGAATCGAATCGAATCTCTGAGTATTCGCTTTGATTCGATTCGTTTACAAACCTACTTGTGTGTGTGTGTGTGTATATGCGTGCTCGAACAACAAAAAGTCAGGTTAGGGCTTGGCCCTCACAAGTAGGCTAGATACTTTAAGGGTGGGCAAAAAAACCGAATTTTTCCGTATCGAATCGGACCGAAATGATTCTGTTCTGAAAAATAAAGTTCCGAAAGGTCTTTTTATCTTTGTCTCGTTCCCGGTACCGAACCATTTTAAACAATGTCGGTATCGGTTTTTAATATTTTTATCCCAAACCGTCCTGTTTGTCCCGTTTCATTTTTTCTAACAAAATATTATATATATACATATTATACATTATTATAATATTTATAGTAGTATTATAGTATCAATTACATAATTAACAATAGGTCATTTTGGTCTAACTTTGTAATATAATATATAAAAAAATAAAAGCTCAATTGTCAAAGCCAAAACTAAACAATGAAGATCAAAGAGGAAAAAAAAAGATTAAAAAATGCATTTAGTAATTTGGTTTTAAACACAATGTTTATGGTAGATATTAGATGTTGGTGAGTGATGACTTAAATTTAATGGATTGGTATGTTACATATAATGAAAACAATACTCTTTGGTAATTTGGTCTAAGTGAATACTTGAATTAGAGTGTTTTTTTTAATCAAAATCATGGAATCAATATCTTGGTTGTTTGTTTTAATTTTTAATAGAATCAATACTCTTTGATTTATTTAGGTGTTTGTCGCGTTTTGTCCCGGTCCCAAATGATACCGGTCCATTTGGGACGGTGCCTCATCTCGGACCGGTTCATAAAACTGGGACCGGTATCGGGACAAGTCAAATTCCGAACCGCCCCCACCCCTAGATACTTTTGTTTGGAGGATGATTTTTTTTTTTCCTTAACCCACAATAGAGTCAATAGGCATGTCTAGTTACACAAATTTTGGTAACTCTAACTCCACAAGTACTTCGCGGACGAGTTTGCAAAATGGTGAAGTCTGAACAAAATATGAGTTTACAAGCAATAATAAAAAAAGTAATCATGTACAACTTGCATAAGATTTGAGATGAGATTAATGACCAACATTACATGACTTATTATGTCTCAATTGACATTTTATCAAGAGTTCTCTTAATGAGAATCTAGAGAACATGGGAACAAGTTTAAGGTAACGTGAGTCTAACCTCATAACCCCAAATTTCGATAGGCTTATGAGTAGTGTTGCAAATAAACCGAACGTTCGCGAACGAAAGATCGTTCGAGA